TGCATTATTACAATTTATACTTCGCTTTTATTTCGTATTCTCATTTTAAAGTTAAAATTCAAATCTTCCCTAATAATTATATCTTCAGTAATAATATAAAGAGAGTACAACATTTGTACGTATGTACATGTTCACATGCAACTTGACTATGCGATTTCTTTTAAGCATGAAGCTTAAAAGAAGCGTCTACTTCTTTATTTTTTCTCGAATTTCGTACTCAGTAATCTCAGTAATAAAGAGGAATACTAATAGTGAAGCAAGTTGCTTCATAGCAATATTAGTAAGACAGACATAACTTTGTATCTACCAAGTATTCTTCGGGTAAGTATCTGATAGGTAGACGTGTTTCATTCAATTCAATTTATAAGCGTCCTTAATATCATGTGAGCTAATAGTACGTTTAACCACTTTGATTTTTGCAATAGTACACTGTGGTGATGTGATGGCTTGTAGTAACTAGTGAAAAGTTATTGCAATCAAATATAATTAGAATACCTGAGATTATATCTACATTTTTTAGATAAAAGATGGCCTATAAACTTCGTCGTAATACAATCCATCTTTACATCATATTTCTTTAAGATTGATAAAGCCGTTTAGCAGTAAAGGTTACAAACAGGCAAATAACTTGAGAATTTGGTAATATTTTTTCTCGAGGATTTTATAATATAAGTAATCCAATTTGTCGATATTTTTAAGAATCCCAATTAGAGTAGGGTAAAAACATGGAAGTCTGTTAGGACTTATAGTACAAAATAGTTACCATTTTCTTTGTCCTGAGACCAAAAGATAAAAGCGTGACTTACTTACATAGTAGGCACTAACTTGTCAGTTCATAGTATGAAGTTCGTAAATAAGAATTCAATGTCAAACAACAATTATTTTCGGGATCAGCTCAGGTCTCATGGCAACACGTAACGTGAACATACGGCAGACGATGGGAGCAGACGGAAGTAACTAAAGATAAATTAGGAGTTTGCGGGGTCAAGTGTAACGTCGGCTCACCCAATTGTCGAACTGCGACGGTCAATGGCTTCAAATGTAGGTATAGGTATATAAAATAATAGATAGCTTGTTATACAACAAATAACTATTTCTCACAACATTTTCTCCTTTTTTAGACAAAAGGTAGTCAATGTCCGCGTCCTCTTGATATAATCGATTTTCTTTACAAATTTGATTAAAATCCGTTCATCCGATTCGAATGGAATGTAACAAACAGACAGACTCACTTTCACAGATTTTAATACATTGCTTTGTAAATATAAAATCAATTATCCAAAATTATTAGTCAACAAGGAAAAAGGTAAAAAAGAATCATTAACGCGTGATTTTGTGATTTTTAACGCGGTCCAAATTGATCGTTTAAGATAATCTAAGTTTAAATAGAAGGCTAACATCTATTCCATAACCGGTTAAATTGATTTTATTTCGCGATGTCTAAAGGATTAATAATATTAATGTATCAGAACAATTCATACAGCGCCACCTAAGCGAAGTAGTGCTTGTGGGTACTAGACAACTCATACACAGTATTGTATTTTATACACAATATATATCTAGAAAATACTTGGACTGATACAAACAATAATTCTCATGTATATAAATGTTTGTGCCGTACGAGGATTCTCTGGTTTGCTTAACCGCTAGACCACCGAGTCCGTCATCTATGGAAAATAGTATACTTATCTCCAATATTTGTGGATAGAAGTTGAAATACACATAATTATAATAATTAAATACAGTATAATCTAATGATCTAATTAACAAAGAAATAGTATTTTAGTATTTTTATATGGATGTCAATAAATTTCATTTGAATGAACACACAGTAATTAATAAAAATTAAATTATGAAGAAATATACAGTTTGGTTCTAAGACATAATAATATATAAAACTTCTATAATATATAGTAATATAATATAATATATAATAAGATATAAAACAATTCCCGAATGAAAATGTATCATCACTTCAGATCTTTTTTGTTGTTTACATATTTATCAGACCAAGGTTTGTATGTCTGTAGTAAAATGTTTGAAAAGTCGCACGCAAATATAAGTAGGTTTGTATTAAAAATGTATGAATTATTGACACGTCAGGTTATAGTTTTTTTCTACCTATTCTAATTGTTGACCATGACTGGCATTTATGGGTTTTTCGGGCGAATTTATTCAATTTGTGTTGTAACGATTTTATTTTTTATTTTGTATGTTGCCTAATTATTTTTACAATACCTAATTATTAATTTGGTTTTCTTAAGTATTTAGTTTCGAGATAGATACAAATATATGATGACAAATGAAATGACAATGATAAAATGACGAGCAGGGGTCACGTGTGTTTGTGCTCGCGTGCGAATTGCACCCATTTTCGACCCCAATTTAAAAGTTGACCTGTTGAATGAAGTTCAAACACCCAAGTTTATGTCCGCTGGCCAGTGATTTGTTTACCTACTTAAATTTATCCAATGAGGATAAGTAAAATAATTTAATTAATATAAATTTTTACCATACGAACTACTCTATCTTACCTAAGTCCTACTATTTTTTAAAGAAGAATAATAAGAAATAGTAATAATACTAAGAATGGTGCAAGTGAAGGATGATTGAATGAGCATAAAGTAAGGTAAGTTAGCCCATCATGGCTAATTTGCCAAGAATTAAAAGTGATGGTTTCTAAGCGGTGCCGAGTGGAGGTTGGCCTGACGCCATAATAATAATCCCATTGCTAGCAATATACCTACTATATACTGCTAGCAACGGATTTACTAGTACCATTACCAACAATTCATTGCCTCTCCCCTTTCTTAATATAAGTACTTATACTTCCCTATCTATCTCATTGCTTTTTGAATTTAAATTCAGGTATTATGTAGGTAGGTGCGTCCAATTGTCTACATATAGTTTTATGATTTGAAATGTTTTATATCAAAGTTATGTCTGTCTGGCCGGCACAGAGTTATAAAGCTTGGTAATAAAGACTAAACGCACTGGTTTCATCCACATTTCTTAGAATTTCCATCTAGAATAGCGTATGATCGTATCTACCTACCTTTTACGATCGCTGCGTTGCAACGTGTACGTGGCGACTATAAAACTGACATGGACATATCATACTTTGAACTTGATAGATCTTCAATAATATGCTCGCTTCATCTTGTTTTTTTTAACCGTTTCGTCGCCTATGTGCATGAAACACACTATGGACATCATGTTATTAATAGATATGTGATGCCCGCATGAGTAACATGCGTTACCATGTCTGAGGACTAGTATGTCATTCGTCCTATTTTGTTATTTCACTATCTTATTTGAACCTTTAATCGAAACACATCTTACAAAGCTACTTATACCTATAAATAATTTATACAGCCAATGTGTCCTTGTATTTCTTATAGCAAGAATTTTTGAGTTTTGTCATGTCAACTAAATAATGAGTGAAAGATATGCGAACTAGTTCACGTAGTTTGTAATTTTTATGGATAATAATGGAATGGTGCACCTACCTGCGCTTACGGTATGTGTTGGCGGGGCACCAGTGGAAGATGATAAGACTATGCAATATTATGTTATTTATGATAAGATGAACACGAGGTCAGGTCAGTTAGCCTATTGTGACAAATTCAGTAGGAATTTACCACGAGGGTTTCCAGGATGAACCGCTTGGAGGTCATCGTGACATGGTACAATGAGATCATCAATCCACAGTACTAACCCTTACCCCATGTATTTGGTTTTTTCCTGTTGATAATGAAATGATGCTCCCGCCTGCGCTAACGGTTTACGATGGTACCAGTGGAGGATGATAAGATGAACATTTGGTCTGGTCAGTTAGCCCATCGTGACAAATTCACCAGGAATTTATTACGATGGTTTCCAGCGGGAACCGCGTGGAGGTCAACCTGACATGGTACATTCCTAGTAATGGGATCATAAGTCCCTATTACTAACAATCTCCTTCCCCCTGTATTTGGTATTTTTTGATAACGACATAGTCCGTGAGGTAGGAGGTCATTGTAACTATACCTATATGATGTCGGTAATAGCTGTACCAGTGACTTCGTTCGCCTGGTATTGGGAATAACAATAGGTTGTAATTTTTTTGTTTATGAATCGATTGGAGTCATTTAAAGTGTATATATTACTATAAACATGCTACAATACTATACATCGGTGAAAACATATGCAAATTGGTTAAGTCTTTTACGATTTTATTATAATTATGTAGGATGATGAAATCGGAATTTGTAACTACAATTGTTTTATTGAGCTATGTTAAGAAAAGTGTTCAGAATAAAATGTGCCTTTATATACGTATTTATGTGTGTATTTATTTACATGAGTATATGTTCAAACACCTTCAGACTATGTGGGTAATATGAATTTATTACTTGTAGGTATGTTCTTCAAAGTTGGTGAAGTTAAATTTATTTTAATAATATAATGTAGTAGGTTTAGTTTTTAATGGTAGTATACGCAACAGCATCCAATATGAAATTCCGTATGCATTTCCTGAAACCTCTATAGTAATGGCAAAATAAAGAAATAACAGCACAAGCGAAGATGCGGGAAACTGTCTATTTACGGATACTTTTAAACTAGATCAACCAGTTCATATAGCATAATCTAGGTACAAGGTAGGTGCCTATCGATATCTGTTTAGAAAGTAAATTTAATTTAAGAAGGCAGGTCATACTTTATATTATCGCATATTAGAATTATTGATAAATACAACTTTAAGATTCAAGAATAGTAGCTGTATGTTATTAGCATCCCTATTTCGTTGCTAATTTCTGAATATTCAGATAGACGATATCAAGAATAAAAGTAACTTTCTCGGCGTTACAATCGACTATTTCTAACAATTGTTTCTTTTGTACTACTTAGCCATAAGGCCATCGTAGCAGAGTTAGGTGTAGGTAAAATATGACTATTATTATCATTGTTTCGATAAATAAGCCAAATGCATATACATACTTAGTTTTTACTGTGCTTACCTTGTAAGGTCAATTACGGCTTGATGACCGCCGTGAACGCGTGACGAGGGGACTCGCCGGCTGCAACTAGTCGCCGGAGCAGGAGACCGCGACACTTCAGTGATGTGACGCGATGCTGCGCTATGGGCGCGTAGTCCGCCGGCTTTGTACACGCTGTTTGCGGTGCGTCGTCGCTCTCGTTTATAACAGACGATGGGCGGCGCGCGCGCATTGCCTTACCGCCACGCCCGCCACCCGTACCGCCCCCCTGTCGTCTACGATAAGCGGATTCCCCGAAACTCATAGCCCAATTTATCCATAAACCCCATAATTCATACTACTGGATCGTAATTTTAAAAAAATAATTTTAAACGGCGTAGTGTCACTAATAAGAGACGCAGTCGTAGTAGATGTACACGTAGGTACTCATAAATCTAAACAAATTTCCCTAAATTGAACCTGTTTTTGAATCAAAGTTTATTTAGGGTTCAAGTCAGAGTAGTCATTGGGTACTAAAATTACTATCCTTTTGCTTAATTTTCTAAAATACTTCGTTTGAAGTCATCAAAATTGTATAATTAAGGTACTACTAACCAGGTAAGGTAACTTATACTGTTGTTTAAAATTCTATTTATTAAAAATTTGTATACTGCCCGAAGATCACTAATAATATTTTCAAATATAATAATAACACAGTTTTAAAAAATCTTATAGATTTTTAAGTATAATTTTTTTTTAAGATAAAATAGGTTTATATGTACCTATCTGTATTAATAAGGATACTTATACTACTATTAGGCGGCGATATTCCCGTCTTCTCCAGAAAGAAAATACTATTTTCCCTCCCGAATCATAGTTATATAAGCGCCTGTAGTATATAACTAGATAACAACGAAAGACAAACAAAATAAATACCGTCGTGGACTGTTTATCGAATTTAGAACAAATCGTTGTCACTCAATAAGTATTGTTGCCAAATTGTGACTGTGGCTTGTGGCGGGTCGCAGAATTAATAAAATTAAGTTTCTCAATGTCGCTTGTCTTACCCGTATAATATCCATTTCAGCGAGCTCGTGTTCTACGCTGACACCCAACTGAATAAAAGAATATAAATTGAGCTCAAGGTGAAAAAAAAATCTCTATCTCTCTATTTCATCAACAAATGTGAAATGTTTTGCAGTCTCGTCATACTGTAATGATATTTTATTAGATCTTAGATAAATAATAATAATAATTTTTATTTGTCTCAAACAAAAACTTTTCACACAATACAACTGTTGCCCATACAATAATATAATTTAAGTTTAAGTGAGTGAGATATATTTAAGTGAGGGCAGTGAGTCTACCCTCTCTGCTATTCTGTTATAACCTTTACCAGTAAAATAATACAGTATGAGATCGACGACGACGATAGCATCGATAGTCTCCCATCTTAGTTGCTCTTACCATCTGTATGCAGACGATTTACAACTGTATGTTCAATCGGAGGTTAACGACGTCACTGCAGCCTTAGATCGTCTGAATGTAGACCTCGAAAACATAGCCCGCTGGTCCCATCGTTTTGGTATATCGGTAAATCCGAATAAACGCCAGGCAATAATTATAGGGAGCTCAAAATTCAATTCGGCAAATCTGAACGTACGTTTTGAGAATAATATTATCCCTTTCTGTTCCAGTATTAAAAACCTAGGCCTATTAATCGATCCGACTCTTCGATGGCACTTGCAAGTGGCTGAGGTGTGTCGCAGAGTTACAGGTATTCTCCGTATTCTATATCGCTTTAAATTCTTCCTTCCTTCTTCCACTAAAAAACTTCTTGCTCCTCGTCCAATCTCTAATACTACCGCATTTTGACTATGCTGACTTGTGTCTTCCTAACCTCTCTCAGCATCAGCGGAATAAAGTTGCGGAAGTTTGACCACGTCTCTAATTTTCGTTCTCAACTTAAATGGTTGTCTATCCGAAATCGCAGAGATTTGCGTATCCTGTGTACTCTCTTCTCCATACTTTTTGATCCTTCGTCTCCCTCTTATCTGAAAAATAGATTTCAGTTCACCAGTGATTCCCATTCCCGTATTCTTCGTTCATCCCATAATCTCCTTCTCTCAACCACTTCCCATCACTCAGGTTTTATGTCTAATTCGTTTACTGTCACTGCTATTAGCCTCTGGAATAGAATACCTGTAAACCTGCGTAAAGCATCGAGTAAGCCCATTTTTATAAAGAAATTATTTAATTTTCTTTTGAATCACCAAAATGAGTTATAACTGTATTGCATTGTATTAGTATTATATATATCTATATTTAGCATTAATGTATGACATTATATAATATCAGGTATACTATATATATTATTATTTGTATATATTTATTTGCATTTCATATATATTATATAATATTTATTAGTAACCTTGTAATTGTTTTTTGACATAACTGCCCCACAACGCTTTCTGTATACCTAAAGGTTAGCTGGTGGAGAATGCCATATGGCATTAAGCTCGCTTTTGTACAAGTTTTATTGTGCATTAATGAATAAATAAATAAAAAAATAGCATATTAAGTTCTAAAATACAACTAACAAAGTAAACATAAACCTGGCCATTTCAGTTCAACTTAGGAATGAGCATAATACGATCTAAATCGTACAAGTATGGAAATAAAATGTGCATACTTATTGTAGGCATTATATATGTAATTACTACATTATGGTTATGTGGCGTCAAATGAAGACGCCCATAGAACACCCAGACAAGTGTAAACAATTATCTGAGAGTGATTAAACAGTAGTAATGTTGATAGGCCAGCGATGCTTGCTGGAACTCAAGTTCAGAATGAGGAAAAGCTATAATACCTAGAGTTTTGTGTGTACAAAATTCTAAAGTGAAGTAAGTTTACGAAACTTCTGCAATTCTTTATTTGGCAAACCTGACAGTGACAGCGCCACGTCATGTGTAAATAGTGTGCTTAGTTTGATTTTTCTTCAGTGCTCATTCATTGTAAGCAACCTGAATGCATAGTGCGAAGTACTTTAGATTTTCGCCTTGAAGATCCTCTCTGTCTATATCAGTCAATTTATTTTACCATTTCGAATTTATTTCATAACTACATATATCACGAAATCAAATAACATAAGCTTGTTTCGGTAATTGTATCTAATTTACAGTAACCAAAAAAAATACACTATCAATGTTGTCTTTAGCCTCCAAGTACCTACGCTGTTTTATAAAATGTTTTGGTAAAAATGATTAGCAGCGAAATTACATGGTACGAAGGTAGTATACCCATAAAAACTCAATATTTATTTTTTAGCTCATTGCAGTTAGGCACTATGCAATGCATGTAGCTATCTACTTAAATTTGATATAGAATGCTGTATTTAGATTGCAGCAAAGCTGATGCGAGTGCCTATAAACGGCATTTATAACAAGATAGTGCACCGTTTATTAGACTATAAAAGACTTTGTAAACAATAATTCTACGAGTGGGAGCATCTCGTCTATGCATGGCGAGTGATTGGCTGATAGTACAATTTCAACAAGCAGCGTAATAAGTCGTTATCTGTCAAGTGTAAATAGTAATGGGATGGAATATCCCGCTAAATGGGGTTCACTGACAGAAGACCTAGCTACCAGACAGCTTCAACTACGAGTCACTGACATCAATCTATAAATATTATATTCTTTGCAATAATTTGTAGAGCTCAATATAGCAGGGCTATTTACAAACAAGGTGACAATTTAATGATATATGGAGTTCTCATCGTGCTAATGAGAATTAATTGCGATGTAAGTGTGTCGTCTGTCATGGCCTGTTCGGAGGGATATCTTTACCTCGCGTAAACACGCAACCATCTCGTCACTACCGTTATGTAGATACTAGCAGTCTTACATAATACAATTCCATAACTGCAAGACTAATGTCTAATGGAAATTTCGGCTTCACTCTCCCTAATTTTGGTCAGAAAAATCTTCGGTTAGAAATAAAACTAGCGGAAAGTTATGACGACTTAAAAAAATTGCAAATTACTAAGAATATAAAAGATTAGAATACTGTAAGTTTTTTTTAACATAATATGCATTTATTCCCTTAGAAGTAGATCCGTTAAGTGCTTTTGTTTTGTGCAAATTATACCTACTGTTATTATAGAGTAATAAACCTTAATTATAAAAGTTGTAATAATTTTTAAGTTGACCTCTACATAAACTTAACAAAAGTTGACTACTGCTGAGACCGAAACTTCAACTTAACCTTATCTGCAATAATAATGAATTTGTTTTAGTAGAAATCAAACTTATCTGAGAGTGCACCCCACCTATAATCGGGTCACACTCGTCTAGCGCTATTTACATCATGTTTTCGTTATCATCCCTGTCTGTTTCACAATTTAATTGGCATCGCTATGCTTGAAAGCTGTCAAGACCGACTGCCGACTGCCTCCGCCTGCCTGACTGGCGCCAGCGCCGGCGCCTCCAGACGTGTTCGGGAATCTCGATCTATTTATAGGCAGTCGTATTATCGTGTTACTATTAATGGACGTATGTCAATATGATATTGGTATCACACTTTTAATTACATAATGTAAAGCCTAATTATGTTTGTTCATTTGCATAATGCATCAGTTGCACTCATATAGCATGTAAGAGTACCTATACGGATACCTAGACTTTATTCTAAGGAACCCTATATGGGTTCCTTAGAATAAATAAGTAAATAAGATTTTCGATTCTGTATCTTATTAAAAATCGCCGAAAGTTTTAGTGATTTAATAAAATACCTAAATTTTAAACTCAGTACCAGATTGGAATATTTCAATTCAATGCTACATCCAGACAAGTAAATCTATAATGGAAAGAAAACGGTCCTTGTCTACCAACGCCCTATTTCATTGAGAGTTAGAATATTTATTTCTGTGAAGAAACTAGTTCTTTTCATGATATCTTCTGAAAAACATCTTGAAATTACCGACCACATATCTTTAATAGTTCGTATATTATCTATATATGATACGAGAACGTCTATAGTGTCAGCTAGTATAAAATAAAATAAAAATAATAAAAGAATGACTTCGCATCTATTTATCGCCATCTACTCAATGTCCTAATTCTGTTATTCAGACTGAACTGACAGTGACTTATGGAATATGTTAATGTGTGTGTAAATAGATAAATTATTCTCATACTATAATTTA